GACTTAGTTCGGCTTGCTTGCGGTTCGGTTGCTCTTTCCTTGGATGATATTTATGATTGTGCGTAGGATGACTGCGGGGTCGGCAACAGCGACGAACTTGTTGAATGACACACGTGTGTGTGTATGTGTGTGTGTGTGTGTGTGTGTGTGTGTGTGTGTGGGGTTGAGATTGCAGGCGTTGGCCGTGCAATGCGCTTAAGCCTCATTTATTTTTCATGACTTGGCCAGCAAAAATTGTAATTTCATTACCAGCAAACCGACAGATAGATGGACAGAGAGATAGTCAGGCAGACAGTTGGACAGACAGTTGTACAGATCAGGTGAGGCAGGCAGTCAAAAAATAAAAAGAAGAAGAAAAATAAACACGAACAAAATTGAAACACACACTTGAAAAATGAAGCCAGGCCAGGGAACACTTCCTGACTCCTGCTGTCCGCTGGCAGCAAAACATTTTTATGAATTATTGAATTGATGCTGCTTTTAGCGGCTGCGGGCGCTGACTGCGCAGTCATGGGCTGAGTGCTGCTGCTGTTGTCGTGTGCCCCAGTAGACCCGAATGCTTTGTCACTTGTTACCTATTTTTCGTTGTCACGAAACGGCGGCGACCAAAACGGCTTCTCCCTCGGTGTTTGTGTGTGTGTGTGTAAGACTCTGTGGCCAAGGTACTTAAGTTAAATGGCATACACTTGGCCAAGTCTTACCTTACCTTACCTTACCTTACCAGAATTCTACAGTGCTTTGGCTTTTCGGCCAGTCGACATCAATTTAAATTGAATTTTCACTTACCACATTTTGGTATGCAGCGCAGCTGGTCGGCAATTTGTTGCTTGAATTAGCCTAATGTAAAATTAAAGCCAATACCAACAGGACTTGCCATATAGCCACTGGCTGCCTAAAACGTTGGAAAATCTTAATTGATTAGATGCCACATTTAATTAGCGGCGGAATGTGGCTGAAACCGAACCAACTTTCGGCTCATAAGAGCACATTCAAATTTGGCGGTTGACAGCGGGCGGTTGGGTCGTATCACCAATTATGCTAATTAAACGGTACCAGTATCCAGCAACAGCAACAGCAACAACAACTACAAAGTGACAGCGACAAAGCAACAAAAGGTGCACAAGTTCATCAATGCGCGCAAAATGAGAGGGTATTTTTGGAACAAGGTCCAAAAGGGGTAACTACGGCTTAGTAAAAAATACAGGAAAAAAAATAAATAAAAGGAAAAGTCGGGTGGGCAATTGACAACCCAAGCGTAATTATCAGAATTTAGCAGCCAGTTTAGATAGAGCTCGGGGGGAGTGGGGAGGGGGCTTAGCAGCTGCAATTGACAAATTAACATAAGAATTGGGCTTTGACGGGTTTCCGCAGGGGCGCAACCTGAAAAGCAGCTAAGGGTTGGCGAGATATTTCCAAATATTTCACAGTAAATTACCAAAAACACTTAAAATATATCCAAAATTACATATTTCAGATTTTAAATAATAAATAAAATAATAACCTTGGTGATGGAGACGTCAGCCTTTTGGTGATTATAAAAGCAAAAAAGCCCGAATAAAAATAATATAAAAGCATTGAATACATTTTTTTAATCAATTTTCAGCCGCAAGCTCGCTGACTAATTAGACCTGATTTTTCACGATCAGCTTCTTGAACGTAAGTAAATAATTCACTAAAAATATGTATGTTTTGATGAAACCATATAATTTCTAATAAAGCACATCTATTTTCTAGAATCTGTAGCAGTGTCAGCTTCTGTCGCTGTGAAAACTGATTTCGGACTTACACTTTTCTTATCCCAACTCACGCCACTTTGTCGACGCCCCTGGTTGCCAGCTAAATGTTATTCGCATGCTAACGAACCTGTTGATGAGTCTCAAGCACAAATATTCAAATTTGACAGACTAGTAGATAGATGGGTGTGGCCTTGCATTGTCTGCTTAACGCTAGCTGCACTAATTCAATTAAATATTTGTCTTTGTAGTTGCCCGAAAAAGAGGGAAGAACCAAAAACAAAGGCAAAAACCAAACGAGCGTATGACAAAGACAAGGAACGGGGAATATAAAGACAAAGCATGCCAGTCTAAGGATAAACAGAGCGTCCTGCCATCCAGTCAGTCAGCCCGGTCTGTAAGCTGTAATGCAAATATTGTATAAAGTAAGCACTATATAAGGTTCTCGGCAAAATAAAAGTGAGAGCAGACAGCCAGGACTATCGTCCTGGTCGTGATCGTGGATGCTGCTTGTGCAGCAAGCAATAAATTTATTGCTTTTGGGAATTTTCCACTTGATGGCATTTAATGCGATTTAGTATTTAAATGAAGCAGCCCACGGGCAACGGCCAACGGGCACAGCTTCAGCTTCAGACTCAGATTCAGCTCCAGTTACAATCCCGACAGCATGACGACGACAACAAAGACGATAAAGTCGGTGGAGCGCAATAAAATAATCTTAGCCAAGGCCAGTAATACACATACAAAAATTATTTGCTAACTAAGCCTCATAATTTCAGCCATGTCCGCTGTAATGAGCATCATACTATTTCGCATCGCTTAGCTCCAAGCTCGGATCAAACTATCAATCCACATTGTACATATATGTATATACATATAGTATATGCATATATATACACGTATGTTTTGGCTTAGCATCCTCTTTGCATTCAGTGGAAATTTCATTTCCATTTCTTAGCTGGTTAGCGCAGATATCATTGAAAATAGTTGATTGAAAATACGCTGGCTGCAGCAGAATCGTCTCTGGCAACGGTCACACACGAGTGCAATGCCCCGCACCGACTGACAAGGCAATCTAAAAAGCTTTTTGCGGCAAGTCAACTATATCGAGGGTTGGTCCGAGAATATGTGTACAGCGTATATTCACCATTAATGTAGCCTATTATGCTAAATTTTGGGATTCATTCCAAAGATTTTTAAATCTATCCTGCTTGTTGAGTAGGCAATTAAATTGTACTTCATTAATTTGTTAAGTTACGACAATTTATTGAAATTAATATAAAAAAAAGCAGTACCTCCATCTCGGTATTAGCCCGGCGTATTTTGTATTGTGGATTAAATAAAGTAAATTCAATTATTTGATCATTTATTTTTTACTTTGTAAGGTTTCCGTTTTATTTATAAGTTAATACCATTAAGAAATAATAAATAAATAAAAAACTATTTTAAGCAAATCTGCATTGCGACATTAAAAATTATCTTATGAAAGGATACAAAAAAAATGCGGTAAAGTACGACAAAATAAAGCCGTAAAGACAATAACAATAATGATGCATAAGTCAGCTGAAGCGATTAACTGCAATGCGCTCAAAATATAAGCCGACTTAAGCTAAAGTATCTGCCGCATTACGTAACAGTCCTTAATAAGTACTTATTTGCCAACCCGTACAAATTACCACACTTGACAATAAAAATCGAACCATTTAAGTCGGCCATTTCAATTCGAAAGATGCTTTAAATACGACTCAAGCTTGTTTTGTATTAATCAATAATGCAATTTCTTATAATAATTATAGTAGATTAATGTATGATAGAATAAAATATTTCAATTTAACTCACCTATCGGATAAAATTAAATTTTCAGTTTAGCAGTTGTGTTTTGGAGTAAATTTTATTTGGGAAATATTATTTGATCATGACAATATGTTAGTTGAATAAATAAATAAATAGTTGGCATAGCAATAAGTATGCGCACACAATAGTTAATATACAAATAAACAAAATGAACGTAAATCTTATACAAAATAAACGCAAAAGTGCACAAAATGGTAATCTAATTATACGTATATCTATGTTCGTATATTTATATCTATATCTATATCTATATCTATGCATATGCAAATTTGCATTTATTCTCAATGTTTGTATTAATTTTATAATGCATTCGATAATAATGTGATAAAAATTACAAACAACAAATAAGCCAAGCCGCAAGTCACGCAAATTGTAAAATGCAAATTTTGTGAAATACAAAACTTAATTAATTGGGGGCATAACAATTGACTCTTGTTTTAAAATTAAGCAAAAATAAATAATAATAACATTATCTAGTTGACACAAACAGACAAAACACACACGCAGACATTCGTAAATTTAACCCACACCAGATGAACATATATAAATATAAATATTATTTGAATAATTGCGAAATGTGCCGAAAAATTTAGTCGAAAATTTTTTAACTTTTCATTTGGAGAAGAAAAAAAATTTTCAAGGATCACTATATCTAATTAAATGGGTCATATTAAATGTGCGTCTTATTTTAAGTAAGTTTGTAAATATATATTCGTATTCATAATCATATAATGTATTCATATACGTATTCGTTGTACAAATTGTTCGTTTATTTTGTTGTTCATAGAACTTACTTTTGATATATCATAGATATATGGTTCCTAAAATTACCGCAACACCTTCAGCTGCTGCTGCCAGCGCCTGCTGCCCACTGCCTCCACCTTTGCAGGACACCCTCCCTTGAGTGCCTTCCACTTGTGTTGTTTTTGCAGTTGTTTTTTTATGTTATGCTGACTACTTGTGTGTCCGTGTCCTCCACGTTCGCTAACTGCCACCGGCTACTAATGGAAGAGCGCAACACAACACAACGTCAACATAAACAACAAAATGCAAGAACAGCACAGAGCGGCAAGGACTCGGAAGTTTGCAAGGACACAGTGGGGCGCAACGCTCGAACAGTCCGCATTTGAATAAAGATGTCGCCGGTAAGTCAAACATATGCGTTTTGGTGGGGGCAATTGTTAAATGCCACGCCCACACTTGCAACACAAAATTGATTGCTTGCTTGAAAAGTAACTTAAAGCTGCGACAGGACGAACTTACCTTCGCCAACTGCCAACGGCTTTATCCTAAACAACTCAGGCCAAGAACTCAGGACGAGTCTCAAAAACCAACAAGTTGAACTAATGCACGAACTTACCTTCGTGCCTATGGATTATGCATATATATATATATAAATAGTTATATATATATATATAGAAATTTATATAGTATTGTATATGTACAAGCACTAAGACTCGCTAGATCCTTGGGTCTAGTCGAGCATAGTTGCGGGGCGAAGTTGGTGGGTGGTTGGTTGGTTGGTTGGGTGGTTGAATGTTGGGCTTAGATCTACCAAATAAATTAAATAACTTAGAACTAGTCAACCAGCTGGATCCAGAGCATCCGCCTCACTGATGATAGGGCTGACAGAACTGGTACACGAGACGCTGTGATCTCTCCGTCTTCTTCATGATGCCCTTCTTGTAATATTGCCTGATCGAACGCGACAACTTGTCATAGTTCATTGCCGGACGATTCTTGCGTCTGCCCCACAATTTGGCCACCCGCACAGAATCCTCGATCTTGAAAATGCCCTTGCTGCGATCAATCCAACGTATGGCCGTGCCATTCACCTGCGGCGATGAAAGCAACTCCTTAAGAAACTGCCACAAATGGATGTGGGAGCCGCCGCCATTGCGAGTGCCTCCAGGGCGTTTGGGTGTGGGCGTTGATGTTGTCGGTGTGGGCGTGGCAATGACAGGCAGCACAGCTGGTGGTGCAATCACCTCCATATCCTCTTCATCTGTAAATTGATTAATAATTGATTAGAATTTACAGAAATATTTGCAATTTATTTTACAAAATGGTTTGAATTAGCAAATCAATAACAAAATGTTTTTAGCTCTCTAAATCTATATATTTCTATATCTTTCTTGATCTTAAAATGTAAATTTCTTGAAATTAGCAAATCAATTAAATAATATTAGGTGCTCTCTTCCTCTTTCTCTTTCCATCTCTCACGCTCTTCGAAATTTATTAATTATTGATCAAAAAATTTAAGAAATATTTTCCACTTTATTTGAGTACATTTTTGGAATCAACAAATCAATAAAATAATGTTTATATCTTTTTATTTTACTCATTCTCTCTCTGTCCCTCTCTCGCTCTTAAAAATTTATTTACTATTGATGACAAATTTAAATAATATTTGACCATTATTTTAGTAAATTGTTTGAATTAGCAATTTGAATAATTTTAGCATATATCTTTCACTTCAGATTTCTATCTCTCTCGCTCTTAAAAATGTATTTATTATTGACCAAAAAATTTAAGAAATATTTGCGTATTATTTAAGTAAATTGTTTGAATTAGCAAATCAATAAAATCATATTAGTTTCCCTCTCTCTCTCTCTCTCTCTCTCTCTCTCTCTCTCTCTCTCTTTCTCTCTGTCTCTCATTACGTTTCCCTCTCGCTCTACGTACCTTCGCTTTCCTCATGGTTGACATTCGACGACTGATATGCAACCGTTGGCGTCCAGAGCAAATCATTTGCCGGCTGCGCAGCTTCCATTTGATTGCCCAACTGATCGGCATAGGACATCTTCCATATCTCCAACTGGGCGTGCAATGTGCTGCCGCTCTGCAAAAAAAAAGGAGAGAAATGGAAGAAAGCGATCGTCTAAGTATATAAATTGCAATTGAGCCCAAGTAAATCTCGCATAAATCTTAATCTTCGCCAACTGCCCAATCTAGACGGCATATCAATTCAAATTCTAACTGCTAAATGCGTGCATAAATTATTCGTACCCAAGCGCTGTCTACAGTTGCAACCAGCAACAACCAACAACAACAGCGACTGGCTAACCAACAACAAAAGCAACAAAAACAACAAAAGCAACAATAACAACAAGCACAACAACTACAACAACAACGACAGCGACTTACTTTCACCTTGCAATGTCGTTGCTGGTCGTTGGCTCAATTCAAGTGCCGACGTCTTCGTTGTTGCTGTTGTTGTAGTCGCTGTGGTTGTTGTTGTTGTTGCCGCTGTCATCTGAGCTGTGGATGTTGCTTTTGTGGCTGCAGATGAAGTTGGAGCTTAAGATGTAGCTATGCACAGTGGGTGAAGTTCCCAAGCTCACTGCTTATGTGGCACACTTAATAAATTCGATTTGTAATTGAGAAGTGAAAAATTTGCTTACAGATAAATTCTTGAATATCTAAACTAGACTATTTTTGATGTTATATATATCATATATCGAATTTCGCAGGGATTCGTTTTCAGGGACAGATTCACAGCATTCGTCAACTGAAATTTAATTCGGGTTTCTTTCTGTTGACAGTAACCGATTTTTTGTATTACAATTTAAAGTTTTAATTTTTGTTTTAATTTTTAATTTTGTTATGAAAATCCAAAATATGAAACGGTAGTTCTCTAGCCAATTTCGGAATAAATATAACGAAAAGCCAACAAGCTTCCGTAAACAGAAAATAAATCAAATTGCCGAGAGACTTGATTTATATTATTGACATATTTTTTAAAATTTTAAATCTTTAATTTAGTTGCAATATAATTTAAAATAAAAGTTGAATTTTACCCTCAGATATATGTATGCTGTTAGCAAATTTGTAAGCCTGATCCATTTTCTCTGCTCCCATATAATATGGTCATTTGATGTTGCTCGAATTCAAAATTAAATCAAAGACTCATCTTTAATTCAAATAGTTAATAGCTATTTTGATAGAGTAAATCTCTCCATTTACACTTTGCATACATTTAATGCCACCTAGATTACCGTTTGGGCCCACTGTGCATTGGATGTGACTGTGGCTGTGGTTGTTGCTGTCGCTGGCTCGTAATCAACCAAGTGCTTGTGCAGTTTCACCAAACAACCTTCACACATTCTTTCACCTTTAAAGCCATGACCACGGTTACTAATTTTTTGTGAGCTCGCTCGACAGCGCGCTCGCTGGCTCTCTCATTTCATTTGCTCGATGCTTGCCCGTTTCGGTTTCGGTCGCGTTCGTTGCTTAAGTCTTTTGTTTTCATTTTATGTTGCACTCGCAACAACAACAACAACAAGCATCATTTGATGCGTCGCACATTTCACCCAGTGGCAAATGTAATCATTCGTATATTTTTGGCAAAGTGCTGACTGGCACTTTGTGGAGCTGAGGCTCGACTTTGAATTTTTGGATTTTTGTCTTTTGGGGGAGCGCATTTGGAGTAGTTTTTGGATGCCGCAAGCTTTTTGCCTAATTGTTGGCAACAGGTTTGCTTTCCGATTTGGTCGCGCCTGGTCTGTGGGCCATGACGTCAACGCCAGTTACGAAACTTGTTTTTTTTTCTGCTGCTGTTGTTGTTTCGGTTTTTATTTATTTGTATTATTTTTTTTTATTTTTAACCCCTCTCTTTCATTCTCTCTCTCTCTCTCTCTTTCTCTCTCTTTTCTCAAGCAAACTTTAAGTTAGTTTTGTTTCGTTCATACGCGAAATTCAATTCAATTTAATTCAATCGCATTGATTGGTATTTTGTTTGGCTTCGTTTCGGCCGTTGCTTTCTGCCCGTTGCCTTTTGCTGCTGGCATTTGCATTGTCTTCTCTTCTTGTATATTATGCTTATTAGTCTACCTTCGATTTTGTAACACCCAATTGTATTGGCCAGGTTGAGTAAGTCACATGTTTGCATTTTTTTTTTTAATTTTTCTTGTTTTGTTTTTTTTTTTGGTTTTAGCTCTTACCTCTGGCAATCGCCGTGTAAATTCCTCCTCGCTGAGTAATGCCAGTGCAGCCCCATCTTCGCTGAACTGCAGCTCCAGATTGGCAGCCGGCGGCAGCTTGAACTGTGCCAAGGTGGATCGCAGCCATGCGTGTACCTGTGCGGACGTCCAACCATTTGGATCTGCAAACGACAACAACAACAATTAGAAAAAAAATCACGAAAATAAAAATAAAAAACTTTAACTGCTTGTTTACTTTTGAAGTGATGTTTATCGCAGTAAATAATTCTATCGAATTGTATAAAATAGCAAAAATTTTTAAAACTGGTTCTTGGTCTTTGTGTTTTGTTGGTGGTCAACCCATCAAAATGTAAAATAATAAGTATCACGAAAAAATTTATTTTAAAGACTTTCCGATTAATTGTTAAGCTTTACAGATAAAGCTTAACATATAATATTATAATATTATTCTAAATTGATATAAAAACTCTTTAATAAAAGTTAGTCAGCTATATAATCGAATGAAAGTTTGGATTACTTAAAAAAAAAAGGTTTGAAATTTCTATAAAAGTAAACTTTATTCTATTGAAACTATGTAAAATTTACTTTTGAAATAAATGTGGTATTATTATTTCTAAGAAAAAAAGCCACAGCCATAAGTAATTTAATATGACTGTACTTCATTATGAAAATCATAACAAATTCTAAGAAAACCTCTTTAAAAAATCAATTCAAATTAAAAACTACAATATAAGAATTAACATATTTAGTCAAAACTATTGACTAAGGCTGTGATTAAAAAAAAAAACCCCAATATAATAAATAAACTGGCAAAAAGGGTATAAGGAAGTGGTGCAAAAGTTTGAAAAACCTGTTCGAACATGCCGATTTCAGAGACTATAGCTGATCAAGATTTATTAATTTCATCGATAGCTTTCGCGAATATCGACGCAACTCGCAATACATATAGTCTTTCAATTGATATATAATGCAATTAATTATTAATTTAATTAATATCGGATAAGAAACTCCAATTTTGTTAACCAAAACGAATTGTCATATGAACAAAGAGATCTCCCAGTCTGTCTCGACTGAAATTGATTGCTGTATTGTTTTGTTCTCGAAAAAATCCCAAATGAAAATTAATAATGCCAGCTATAATTTTTGAGAGTATGCCTTTCTACAAATACATTTTTTTAATAAAGATAGTTTTTTTTTTAAATATAGGTTTTAGGAATTATTTTGTGAGAAAATTATTATGTTTCTAGTTTAAAAAAGGTGCGAAAATTCTACACACAAAAAAAGACTTCTATTAAAAATTTGAAGTGTTGGTTTGGATCACAGTCAGGTGTGTGTGTTGTGTGTGTTGTGCTTGTCTTGACTTACCCTGCGATATTTGCAGTTCCGCACAGATTGCGTCCGCCTCCCGTTTGGCATGCTCCAGGGCCAGGGATATGACCGGCTCAAAGTCACCGCGGACCTCAGCTAGGCCGCCAATGAAGGACTCCAGCGCCAGGGGCTTCAGGTTGTGCTTGCGCTGGAACGTTGTGTCCTCGAGGCACTCGCGGAGCACCTGATTATTCGGCTTGATGTCCACCTGTTGCTGCTGCTGCTGCTGCTGCTGGAGCAGTAGTGTATTTAAATCAATGAAGCTCTCCACGTCGGCATCCAAGGGTTCTGTTTTGATGCAGCCGCTGCTGCTGCTGCTGTCACTGCAGGCGGAGGAGCGGGGCGAGGGTGTCTCACAGTTGGACTCCGGCGGGGAGGGTGGCAATATGTGCAGCTCCTGCTTAATGCTTGTTGCGTCCAGCGAGGGGCACGGACTGCTCAGGCAATCGTAGCTGCCGTTATATTTGCCGTACGCAAACGTTGCAAACTCCGACTGCAACGGACTCGACTGCGGCGAGGGGTAGGCGCTGTGCGGATAAGCGGGCGGTGGCGGTATCAACTGCTGGCTGGAACCGGCATAAGCAGCACCAGAAGCGACTGCCTGCTCTTGTATATCACCGGCACACTCCCAAGCGCTCTCGATCTTGATCTGCGGTGCGTTGTATTGATAAACTGTTGTGGGTATTCCGGCGTCCTCCGGCAGCAGTGACAAATCAAAACTATCCGCATAGGCATACGCCGCATATGTGTCTGGCTGGATTATCGGGAAGGGTTCTGTGCTCAGCTTAAACTGTGTACTGCAGCTGTGCGGCATCTGCAAAAACAAAAAACAAAAAAATATATATATATAAATTAATTAGGCGCCACATTCCACAAGAACTGCTAATTGGTTATCAGACTCCACAAAAAAAAAAAGGAAAAAAAATAAATTAATGAATTAAATTGGCCAACTTGAGCCACTGTTTAATTAGCACGCTTAAAGACAAGATTAAGCCTTGTTTTATTTTCTTCTTTGTTTTTTTTTTTTTTTTTGTTTGTATCTTTTGCTACTGCCTTTCTAATTTGAGCTTGGCTGGCACCTACCTGCCCTAAATGTGGCAATGTTTGTTTTTGAATTTCGATTTGTTTTTGTTTTAATGTTTAACCTTAAGTTTCCAAGCGTTTCGTAGCGCTCTCCGTGTTTGGCCAAGCCGCTGCCGTCAAAAGCAAAATTTGTACTAAGCTCAAAATCGCATAGATTTTCACATTTATCAACTTATTAATGCCAAGCCGAACCGAGCCGATCCATAAAAACTGTGACTTCACATCACGGCACAGGCTGTGTGTGACGTCACACGCGCTACTAAATGCAAACACAAAACACAGAAACAACAACAAAAAAACCCAAAGCCCAAATGAGCCACAACACACAACACTAGTCAGGTCTCTCCAGCCTCAAGAGGGGTAGTTGAGTGTCAGCTCGTGGGTGACGAAGGGGGAGTAGTATTGAGTAGGGGTATACATTTAAACTAATAACAACAATGAGAGCCGTGTACTTTTTTTTTAATTTTTTCTTGTTTTGAGCGGCAAACAATGACGCGAGATCCAAATCAAACCTATCTGATATAATATGCACAACAGCCCCCCAGCAATGTGAATTACTTTTAGTATGAACGAATAACACATTTTCTTTCTATAGAATTATTCCATTTTTAAATAGCTGTCACAGGAAATGGGAAAACCATTTTTCTGACAAGCGCTAATGGCATGTACTAAAATTTAAGATAATAAAGTTGTGCAAGTCGATTGTAAATAAAAACAAATAAATTCGAATCTTAAATATTGATCAGAACATTTATCTCAGAGATCATAAGAGCTACAATCAACAATCAAATAGTTTTCATATTTCTGATAACACTTTGGTCACTTTTCAATACAGAACAAAAAGGGCATCTTTCTACTTGAGAGCATTTCAATTAGTTCAATATACTCTATATATTTGCTCGATTCCTACCTGTTGTACTGCAATAAATATAAATATGTTGCTATCTGTGCAGCTGTGTCTTTTAAATTGTTATTTTATTTTATTTCTTTTTTTTTTTTGTTGTATTTTTTGTTTTTTATTATCATCTACGATTTTTGTCTCTGAGTAAATGCTGAATGCGGATAAACTGGTTTTTCATTAAGCTCACAGCAGTGGCCCGCAGCCAAGCGGGTGGCAGGGTCTATGTGTGTGTGAGTGAGTGTGTGTGTGTGCGTGAGTGTGTATTTGTGCTGTGTTGTGCGCTTATTATTAATTTAACAGCTCATTCTGGATTTTCCGATTTGCAGTCTCAGCTCGGAGCCAAAGAGATCGAGGACGTCGAGGGTTGCTACTCGATGGTAGGGCGGAAAGGGGGGCGTGACTCGCTATTGCCATGCAATTTCAATGGCCAATACAAGATTGACGTCGTCGTTTGTTTAGCTTTGCAGTTGCTGTTGTTATTTTTTTTTTTTTTAGCCAGTCACGATGTTAATACAATTTTTATGTTTTAATTGCTGGCGCACCGAGCGTATGAGTGATTTTCGTTGTTAGCTTTTCTCGTCTAGCTGTTAATTGCCAGTGCTAAAACTTAGTTTAAATATTATTTAGTTGCCATACTATTAAGTTCTGTGCTTTTTCCATAGGCCCAAAAATGTACTTCACCGAAGCATCTATCAATTGAATTTGGACCGCCAACTAGAAAAATTGTTCAAGTGATTCAACAGGCTCAAAAGCACACAGCTGTTCCTGGTGTAAGCCAGCAGTAAGTGACTCAATAAAAAAAACCCATTAAATCTTTTAAGAGCGCTAATCAAAGTGCATATATGGTAGATGCTGAGGTAGAGGCTGAGGGGTTCACGGGTGTGTCAGTTAACCAATTGCTGGCTGCTATTTATAGACCATAAATACTCAGCCAGTTGCTTAGCCTGCTTGCAACATTTTATGGCTGAGAGCAATTCCTTCTTCTTAACTGTTATCATAAATTACATAAAAATCGAATAAAATGGAATGTCCCCAATTCATATTAAGGAAAAAATTTCATAAAAAATAAAGTAAAATTCAATGACACTGAAACAGTTTCCTTTACTTTCATAAATATCAAAAAAGAAAATAACATATGCGACAACATTAAACTATTAAACATATTTTCTACTAAAGAAACTTAAAGAAGCTTTCGCTTAAGTGTGATTGGCTATTAAAATACACCAATTTTAAATAAAAAGGAAAATTACCTCAGCACTCCAGCAATATTGTTTTCTTTTAAACAAAATTGACCATTCAAAAAAAAACAAATTTAATATAAAATAAATGCTCTAACGCCCTGCCGTAAATTGTTTTTCTTTTTGAAAAAAGATTTATTAAAATTTCCATAATCAAAAGACAAGTCATAAAAATGATTCTCACCAACAAACAAAAAAAAACTGATTGGCTTTTAGTGAAAAGACCTCACACAACAATGTCAAAAGCTAAAAATAAAAGCAAGGCAATTCATTTTATTTAACTGATATTACCAATTGCCCGAAATAAAATTGAAGCAAATAAAAACTGAAATTTATTTTCAATAAATATGTGGAATTTTTCAATTTGGTGAGTTGGCCAGTTTGCCAGTTAGCGAGACAATACCCACATCCTCAGAGCATTGAGTCTTGTGGCAATTAGATCATTTGGGTTATTCCGTTTCACATTTCCTGCTGGTTTCACATTGCGCTCACAAAACTCCGTAAGTTTTAATTAAATCTTTCTGTACATAGCAGCAGCAGCAGCGCCAACAATAACAATGTGAGTCTAACAAGCTCAATATCTGACGGAGTTTCCAATAGCCTACAAATACGAATTTTATTACAATGTCTGGGAGCAAACAAAAGGCTTTTTTGTATGCCGCATTTAGCCAACTTCTGGACAGCAACAAAAATACCAATAACAACAACAACTACAATAAGATCAACAACTGGAACCATATTTCATTGGCAGCTCTGACATGAGACGCCTGTCAATAAAGCTATCAGTTCAGATTTAAATAAAGCCTGGCACACACAGACACACACGCACAGAGATACATGTATTAAATGGCATATCACCCACAATAAATAAACGTCACAAATTGGTAATTTAAAAAATAACATGATATGCTTGTTCTTATTGCTGTTATTGGTGTTGCTTTTGCTGTTCCTGCTTGTTTCATTGTAAAAATAAAACAGCAGAAAAAAACAAAAAAAAATCACACAAACAAAAAAACAAAAAACAAAGCGCCGACAAATTCTAAACAGCCAGCGGCTTGGGTGTCAAAGTTGGCACAACAATAGGCTAACATGCACAACAATAAAACAACAACACTATTTTAACCACAAACAGTAATTGAGTTTGGGATTGGGAATTGAACTGGCAATATGACAGTCAGGTAATATTTTCGTAGACGCCCCAATGATATTTATAGAAAAAACCACAAGTTTTAATAGATCAATTTAAATGACAGGTCTATTTTTATAGCCATTCACAAAAGGTACAAAAATACACACAGAATTCCATATTTATACAAATAAATATTTGCGTTTGTGAATTGTAATTGCATTTGATGGCGATAGCTTAATAGCTGATAAGATTTTAAAGCTTCGCTCTTCAATTGATATTCAACTATTTACGATTTCTGTAGTATTTAATAAAAGTGATATTAATTTTTCATTTTTCAACAATTTAATAACAAAAAACTACAGATTTCCAGAATCGTTTGCTTAACAAATGTAACTTTTAAACAGCTTTAAATGCACAACAGCAAACAAATATTTAATTAAAGTATGGAAAATTTAAATTCTTAAGTAGCATAACTAAATCCTGCAGAGACCAGAGAGCGAATATTACAGACTTTTCTACACAATCGTTTGCTTAACTAAGGCAGTTTTCAAGTAGCATTAAGTGTAATAAGAAAATATTTCCTTGAGTCTTAAGCAACTTGTGAAATAAGCCTTATTCAATCATAATTGAGTTGAAATTTCTTAAACGAATACCTAATCAAACGAATAGCTAACAAACTTAACTCAATAACCATAAAACAGGATTTAAGCAATGCATACCTAAATTGAATTTTTGCACATATAAAATTAGGAACTGCATTAAAACTTCTCCGGTTGCTTCTTAAAAATAACTACTTAAGATAATGCCACTTATGAAATTATAGGCCACCAAAAATTAATTCGTTTGCTTCGTTTGCTCATATCAAAAACATCATCATTTTATGAGCTCTGACGCTCACATGATGAGAATACGATGAATTATTTATCTTAAAGTGTGTGCTTTAAATCTTTCAGTTTAATGCTTCAGTTAGCTGATTAAAATCTTAAAGTTAGCAAAACAAAGATGAAATCATAACTGAGTCATGTCAACAAACACACGCACAAACCCACACACACACACACACAGAACAAGTGTGTGTATGTTCGTGTGTAAGTTCGAACAAAAGAAAAACGGCATGAAATGTAAATAAAGCAGAAGCGTAGACCACAAAATTCAGAGCATATCTCGAGTTGGTACAGACACAAATCACACTAACAATAACAACAACAACAACAATAAAAAAATATGTATGACTAAAGCGGTAGCAAAAATTGTTGATTAAATTTTGAGTGTGTGGTTTTAAGAGCTACGCAAATGAATAAAATGAAAAAAAAAATGTCTTTGGAAATTAGCAACAATCATAATATTGAGCAATCTGTATAACAAAGTAAATTGAAATATATAGCCAATGGCCACAAAACAAGTTTAAACAATTTGTCTGACTTTGTTGCAAAGCCAATACAGCAAAATCAAAAAAATATAACAAAATTCATTAGAACAATTCTGAGACAAGAATGTTGTGCCACAAGTGTAGGTATCAGTCTGTGTGTGTGCGTGTCTCTGTGTGTGTGCGTGTCTCTGCGTGTGTGTATGTGTATGCTTGTGCTATGCTTTTGCCTAATAATCAAATCAAGTTTACGTTTTTCAGAACGTTGCTTAAAGCAGCGACAAAAGCTTTATTAAAGCGACGATCAGATAAGAAGCTGTGTGGCCAAAAAGAAACCCGCCAAAAGCCAGCTTTTATATAGTAGTAGTAGTTGTTGCTGAGTTGCTGCTTTGATTGTTGTTGCCTTAAGTTAATAATAAATGAAATGGCCAACGCCTAAGGCGAGCGCACGATCTATATAAATAAATTAAGTGCGGCTTTACAACGGGGCGCGCCCAGGCCTCGGACAAAGAAACCATTTGCCAACCTTGAGGCCATTTTAAGTGTATCAATGTGTGTGTGTGTGTGTGTGCCTCTCTCTGTGTGTGTGACAAAAGGTAGCCGTGCCCCCTGAACACCCCTGCTCCCCTGCTCAAAGCTGGCCAGCCATACAAAGTGAAGGGTAGTTGCAATTGCAGCAGCCTTGAGTGTGGTTTTTGTTGTTATTTGTGTTGCTTTGCTTTAGCTGCCGTGACCAAGTTGATGTTGATGTTGATGTTGATGTTGAATAATGGCCAAGTGTTATTTAAATTAATTTATATTTATATTTTTGCTGCTTTGAACTAAATAAAACAAACTATGCAAATGTGCAAAAAGCCTCAGGTGTTCAAGTGAGCTACCAACCAATCAACCCACCAACTGACTAACTGACTTAATGGCTGACGGAGTGACTGGCTGACGAGCCACAGCGACAATTGTCAGTTAATCTATTCTAATCGCATTATGACTATAGAAGAAACAGACATACTACTACAAACCTAAGCCCCGACTTCGATAACTTCTGAAGTGTTGTCAACAGCAACAGCAACAGCAGCAGCAGCGAAACAGTCAAGAGTCAAGAACAGGCAAGAGCATAAGTGCACAAATCCACGTAATTACACTTTCCGAAAAAAGATGGAGAAATAGAAGCATAAATGTTGATCAAGCTCCGTACGGAATTCTTAGAAAATAACTTCTTTTGTTATAAATATTTTGTATATTAAGAATCGACTTCTTAATAAAAAATTATATATTTTTATGTTTTATTAGTTAAGCTTCATAGACTCACTAAATAATAGTTTAATATACATTTTAAGTACACAAATGATTGAAATAAATATTTTCTACTTAATTTACGCATTATTCTTCCCATTTATTAAAAGTCTATGTTTTCTTCGAATTTTGTATTGTTCTCATTTATTAAGGGTTGACTTCTTCTAAAAATCTACATAAACAAATTACAGCTAAAATTTTAAGATCAGTAACTTATTCTCTTAAGGATGCATACATTTCATATTATCTAATTCCAAGTATCCATTTTCAAATAAGTTATAATTTAAACTTATTAAACAAATATAAATATAAATGTTTCTGTTCGCAATAAATTTGCTGTACTTTGTTCAATATTTACTATTTCTATTTATGTAACATTAATGGTTGATTGTTAAATAGCATGCATAGAACATAGAGCATTAATTCTGCGAGTGTATGTACACACTGTCAGATACACGTACTCACAGATACTCGCTGTTACTCGCAGATACTCGTATGCGTGGGCTAAGCTGTCACAGCGACAAGACTTATTTCTGCTTAATTTTACATCGCTCGTTAATTATATTTTTATTTTTTTTTTTCAGTTTCAGTTTTTGTTGTTTTTTTTTTTAGTTTTATTTTGCTTAGGTTTTAGTAGCAGTAGTACAAATAGATCGCAGTTCGTGACGGCGCAATTTTGAGTTGCTCTGTAGCACGGTTCAGAGTTTTAGATTTGTCGTTTGCATTGCATTTAAATGTCGACATTTCATGCAACAATAAATAGTTCTGCGCCCCACAAGGTGAAATATTTGCCAGTTTTAGTAGCCAGGCAAAACACACATGGCAAACGGCAGCCTAAGTCTGAGATATACAAATATAAATATACATACAAATAATATAAATAAATACATACTAATGATCTTTGCATTTCAATTATGATTTGGAGCTGGCCATAAGACTGCATCAGAGCATGGCCAACAGCAACTCATAGATAAGAACACAGAACGCTGTATGCAAATAATGCCGGGATGTAAATGTGCAACTGTAGCAAAGCTATAAATGTGTCAACTGTTCCGGGTCACCTTAAAGGTTGCATGCTAGCAATTGATTTCTTTAAATATGCAGAACATTTGTGCAGATACAACAATTCTTTGACATAAGCTTGTTATTATAATTAAAATAAACCATATTATAGACAAATACAAACTACCAACACGTTTAATTTTAACTCTATTCATTGGGTATAAGATTTTATAAAGTCTCTATTAGAAGTAAGTAGCAATAATTGCTTTAAATTTTCTGTTACTATGTTTCTATTATCATTATTAGTCAGTATTAATTCTTGTTGAATTCTTAAAGCTCACATCGTAAAGACTTGTTTATAAGGCGACGTTTTTATTTCTATCTATGTGAAATCAATATTGATTCATTATTAGAAAATAACTGATATATCAACATGAAGTGTTAACTAATTTTAAAATTCAATTTAATCAGTCGAAGGAGGATCTGAGGTACACAGCTCTTACTTTGTATTTTTGCTGTATTCTCAGCTGCTTACAAATATTGTACAAAATTATAAAAGACAGCCTAATTATGGCACCAGCCCTTTGCAGCTCTAACTTAAAGTGTAGTGTGATTTTGGCAAACACAGAACACTGAATATGGCCTACATTAACCATAAACCATAAACCAATCCCAAAGCTACTTAGACGCCCCGAGGAGTGCACAGCTTGTAGTTGAGGCACAGCTGTACACACACTACACACATCAGAGAGCAATGTAACCGCACTCGCACCCATATGCACACACCCACACACCCACACACACACAGACAGCAACTGCCAGAGTTGTAGATGAGGAGACCATTCCCATTCCAATGTCTAGGCACTGAACTCTATCAGACACTGGAGCTGGTCTGGTCTGATGGCTTCAGTTGCTTCTACTGACTCTAGTTTACTGCTCATTATGCAATGCACGCATTGACAATTATTCTGTGCAAAAGACAGTCAGGTAACTCTTGGCCAACTCATTTTAATTTGCATAAGAGCCACGCAACATTTACGCGATTTGCAACGCAACAATGATTACTGTCTACCTATGTATATATATTTATATACTTATATATAATAATAACAATTTGCACAACCACACCCCAAGAAATGCCAAGTCAAGTCACAAGCTGATTACATTGTCTAACGAGTTTGATTGATTTGCAAGTATTATTAGAAAAATGGCCAAAAGGGCCAAGCCAATCTGAAGTCTGCAGTAGTCTGTAAAACAGCTAACAAACTCGGCGCAATTGTTTGATTCTGTGGTGAAAAGCGACTTGAAATATTTATGTCATGTCAGTTTTTGCTTTCTTATTTTTCTATTTTTTTTTTTTTTTTCTTTCCCCTCATCTATTTTTGTATTTAGTTTTTCTTTTTTTGCTGATGCTACTGCTGCTGCGAAAGCGGTAAATGCGCTTGCATTTTTAATTGTTGGCCAGTAGTATTTATTTTATTATGTCCATAAATATAATGAGGCATCTAGAGTGTTGGTTGGCCAAATGGCCAATGGATCGCTTCAAAGTGCATTTCTAAACGCTTCTCTTGCGCTTCTTCTGCTGTCTGTGTCAACAGCAACAGCAGTAACAGCAGCAATTGGAAAACGCGAGAAGGCCGACAACAGCAAGTTGGCCAACAACGACGTGCAAAATCACTGCAGCAGACACATTCCCATCAAATCAATCAAAAATGGTAAATACAAGTTTTTTTTTTGCTGCTGCTGCAACTTCTGCTTCTGCTATTTGTTTTTTTTTTTTTTTTCTTTGGCATATATAGAGCTTAAGTAGGTCCAACAAAACTATCTGATGTGCGTCTGTCTGTCCGCTGTCTGTCTGCCATTGGAATGCACTTTCCGAGTGAAATGCCAGCTTGACATTATTGTTGTTGCTGTTTGCTGCTTGTTGCTGTTATTGTTGCCATAGTTGACAATCATTTAGAATCACTTCTTGCAAAATGAAAGCATCTTTTGAAAGTTGCTTGATGCCTGCTGCTGCTGCTTCTGCTTCTGTTTGCTGTTGTTGTAATTAAAACGAAATGCCATAAGACAAATGGAAAATGTAACTAGCAAGTGTAGCAACATCAACAGCAACTGCAGCAACAACAGCAACATCAGCAGCAGCAGCAAAATTAACAATAGCAACAACAATGGCAGACAATGCGACGCAGTGCAGACTCTCACCTAGTGACACTCATTTGTGCCTGCTGCCGTCTAGCTAAGACACACACCCACCACCTACATACCAAATAAATGTATATATACACACTCACACACATGTTGTATGTACACATTTGTATATACACATATCTGTATACGTTACTTTTGTTACTAATTTAAAGTCAGATGATGATGGCTTTTATAACGTTAATAAGCAACGCATATGGCTGCCAAAAACATTATCTGACATATTTATACATATACATATGCTGGCTGGCAATTGCGCAAATTATTTGAGCATACAAATAACAGCGCCGGATACAAATAAACAAAAAAAAATACACACACACACCCACATTTATAAATATGTTGATAAGCGCATGCGAAAAGGTTATCAGTCTGTTAAGCTTATAGTTATTAAATGAATGTGTATATATACTTCTAAAGGCACCCACTAGCGACCCAGACTTAAGCATCTCTATATATGTATATATATATATATATATGTATAAGTATGTATTTTACTTACATCAGCCGCATTTGTCATGAATATCATTTTCTCATACTCCATTTTAGTTAGCAGAGCAGCTCACTGTTAATTAACCGTTTCTAACTCTGAGCAGCTTTTGTTGCTGTATCTGAAATATTGTTTTTTTTTCTTGGCGTGTGCGTGCAAAATTTTAACGTTTGCTGCGAAAGTCTAGCACTGTCATTGGCTGTCTCGTTCTCGCACTCGACTAACACGCTCGCGCGCTCTCTTTCTCTTTTGATTTATTCGTATACAATATTCAAATGCTTAACTCGTTTCAGTTAGTATCGTTTGTGTTGCAACAGTTGTGTTTTCAATAATGTTTTTTTTTTGTATTTTATTTTTTTAATTTTTATGTGTTTTCTTTTTTGTGCATAATTTGTTTTGATTTTGTTGTTTTTTTTTTTGTTGCCTTGAGGATGAGGCCAGTTTATTGTGTTTCACAGCATTTTATTGTTAAAATTTCCACTTGCAAACTTGTTGTTGCTCTCATTCACACACACACACGCACACATTCTTTTTGCTCACACTGTCTCTCTCTCTCTCTCACTCGCTCTTTCTCTCACTTTTGTGATCTCTTTCTCTTTTTCTAGGTTTTTCACTTCTTTTTCTTTTTTGGTTTCGTCCGCTGTGAACCGTTCACAATGTCTCCACGCTCATTTCTGCGCGCAGCGTTCGCAACGATCGTGTTGCTTACCTCATGCGCAGCAAAGCTTTTGAGCCACAAACTGGTTTGAAAGCTTGCCCCGAAAGCTCTTTCCCTTTATCGCTTTAAAAGCTGCCAAATCGATCAAGTTTTCAGCCATGCATCTGATTATTGAGCTTCACATCGCGCTTAACACTTAACAACAACAACAACAATAATGCCAAACGCCATGCGAATTAGAGTTGCACCCTTTAGTTCAATTTATTAGTATTCATTTTGTTGCTAAAGAAAAAAATACTTATAAGAAATAAATTAGACTTCGACTTAGATTCAATTATACAAATTTTGTTTTAGCTAGCAGATATACAAATTCAGTTAAATTAAATAATCTATTAAAATATATATTAAGTTGTTCATTAAAAGAACCTGTAACCGAATCAGATTTTTTGCTAATAAAATCTTGGTGCATGAGTGAAGCGCTGGAACGAACAGTTATACAAGCCACTAACGATTTGTTTTCGCCTTGCTTTGATGTTAATAGCTTCTGGCTGAACGATTTGCAAAGATATACGTCGGCTTAATGATTAATTCAAACGAACTTTGTGTGAACGATTCGCTGCAACTCTAACAACTGGAAAATGTCAAGACTCAGCAGTTGGTTCGGTTTCAGTTTACGGGACTTATGCGCCGCGGGGTTGCCAGACCGCAAAACACCGACTCGAAGGCAACGTGCTTGCAGGCATTTCTCTGTGTATGACGTATGTGGGTTATATATATGTATATGTTTAAACCTACGTGTGTGTGTGCGTGTGTGTGTGGGGTGCATTATCGTTTCCGGTTCCGCTGCATAAGACTGTGGGCATCAACGTTGCCAGCGGAAGCAACAAAACGCATAAAAAAAAAGCGGAAAAAACCTCGTTGACATTTATATTTCATTGCACAATGACAATCCTGCAATTTTTCGACAAGTCATAAAATGCACATGACAACTGCAATGATGACAGCTCCAACTTTAGGCGCCAAACTCCAACTACAGCTACAACTCTGGCAACTTTTCGTTTGCCTCCCCCTCCAGGCAACACTGACAGACAGAGTGGACAATGACTTCAATGCCGTCTGCAGGACGTCTCGACGAATACATCGAAATGAAATTACGCCGCCACCCATTCTAAATGCCATAAAATTTTAAGCTGTTTTCTACTTTTGCCAACGGGCACGCAACGCTTGGGGAGCATCAGCATCAGCATCAGTGTCAGCTGCCGCAGGACAAACAGCAGACACAGCGCATTCACCGACTGGTTGCCAATGCAACGGAAAATATGAACATTAATAAATATAGACTACAACTTTTAGCACTCCAAAACTATGTGCGCCAAAAAAATAAATAAATAAATAAAAAAAAAGACACTCCCAAAATCTGTTGCACTGCATACTTAATTGATATTTAACAATTTACGATGAAAACTTGAAAAAATTGTATACAAACTTGTGAATTTAATATCGAAGGTTACAAAGATAAAAAATAATATTATTTTCATCAATACAGCTACAAAAATAATGCATGAATACACTTTATATATTTAACCAGAGGACAGTCGAACTAAATGGAAATACATGAAAATACTTTCAGCAATACTTTGAGCAATTAATCTCAAGGATGAACTGAATTAGTATGTATATATTTGACAATATTGAATTTCAAACAAAGACCTTTATATGTATTGTGTAAAATTCGATTATGGAGTTTTAGAATCATACAACGATAATTCTTTAATGGCTAATTTAATCGTCTTTTAAAACTGATTATATCCTTAAGCTGCTAGATATCTTAATTTATCAGTTACGCAGAACAATAAAATACACTCAAAATTGTAGTTGGAAAGTTGTTCAGCTTAAGAAGGCTCTCCCGGATTAATAATAAGCTCTCTCAACTTATATGCCTGGAGCCTGGAGGTGCCCAGCACTATTGTGCCAGATGATAGGCTCCAACCAGTAGACCAACCTCATGCAGCTGCAAAGCTAGCAGGGGGTCCACATACAAAACAAAAGAAAGAAGTGCGCAGCACAAAAGATGCTGCGATTAAAACTGCAGCCTGCAGTCCTTATAGCAATCATTATGCAGCACATTGCAGCAGATTGCAAGATAGAGAGCTTCCCCGCTAAACTGCCTCAGTTGCAGTGCCACCTTCCCAGCGTGGTCACATCAGGCAGCGGCACACCATGAAAGACAACCTGCTGGCTGTGTAATGAATAGCCGGAGTCGCTTATGGCCAGGGATGTCCTGCTGGGGCAACCAGGGCCGGCAGCAGCAGCTCTTCGTCGGCACGCCCACGTGCAGCATACGTGATGACGGGGCAGACGCGCAAAGACCGCGACAAACAGTGGCCGTCATGACGTCAGGTGGGGATGCCTCCCTAAACTCGGCAAGCTCCTGGTACCGATTGTTGCCTGGTGCGGGAGGAAGGGGATCACATTGGGCTGACATGAGCTTGGTCAGCGGACACAAAGATGAAAGGACATTGCCCAGCCCAACACACGGGAATGTGACAGGGATAAGCTCAGTTCCTGTTGTAGCAGGCGATGTATATTGCATGCGAACCTAAAAACGGAAGTGCCTCGGACAAGGCCACACACACTCATTCACACACACACACACACCTCCCTTGTCTACTAGCCACTAAGCATCATTTAATCAGACTGATGCATGATAAATCAGGAGCCAATCATGGTCAGGTGAGCCCTGGCAATGCTCGTTGCAACTGGACGTGCATCCACACAGCGACGGAAGCAAGCATCACACAAAATTGCTCCTAAATCAAGGCAAGGATTAATGCGTTTGTTTGGACGCATGCTGACCACAGAGGCATCGAATAGAAAAATCATACTTTAGATCGAAAGATATCCTGTAGTCATTAAAAAACAAGGTTTTTAAATTAACTTATGCATTTTGATGATTATATCGATATTGAAAGCATGTTTCCCTTTTGCTAAAATGTTAAATTGGTTTTAGTTTATAATGCATAAAGCTCTGGATATCAGCAGGGTTTTTCTATATTCTTATAATGCTGCTGCTGCTGCTGCTTCAATTTCCCTTTAAAGACTTAAACTGATTGACTTAAACAATTGTCAAACTGAACTAAACCATGATTTTTTTAATAATCTTCCAGGTATACTCAAACAAGAAATAATAGTTTAAAAATATAAAAACCTGTTTAATAATTTGTATTTATGTATTTATACATAAAACATAAAAACCTATCGCATATGTAATTATTGTGTATTTCTGTATTTATAAATACAATATTTTTAAGAGATTTCCTTTTCAAACTACATTTATATCCGAGATTATTTGTAAGCGGTCACTCTAATTATACCCTGTGTATACAATCTAAGTGCGTACAGGGTATACAAAACTAGGCAGAGAGTGTGTGTGCTCATTTTTGAAGGGATGGTCGAGCAATAGGCGGTCGATGGACTGACCAGGGATGTGCATAGACGTGCATAGAGGAACAGGAAGGAGGCGAAAGAAAACCGAGTGGCTCGTTCGATACTGATGCCGTGCAGTAAGTCGGCAATAACAAGAGTTAAACAATTTGCCACACGTTGCAAGTGAAACACACGGACAGTGTCCAGCTCGGTCGGCAAGCAAAGACATGAGGCGTGACAGCATACGCAACCGGATTGCCGGCCAACGAGGCACTTCCGGTGTAGAAGGCCACCCGTATTGATGCAGATGAATACCATTGCGCTTAAGCGATGCACAATGCCAAGCGCGCACTCCGGATGTGCCTCATCTACAGTTCCCAGTGTGAATACGACTGGTCCTCCTCCTCCTCGTCATCCTTCTTCAGCTGAGCAAACTGTTGCGCCCATCTCGCCTATTGAGTAATAAACGTCAGCCACAGGCTTATCCTTCTCACTCTCTCTCTCTCTCTCTCTCTCTCTCTCTGTGTTTGTTAACTCCACTTCAATTGGTTATCGCATGGCGCCCAATCCCAAATCCCAAGCAGTATAATTTTGGTGTCGAGTCGCAACAGTGTCACTTGCCAGTCCGCTGGAAAGCCATTCACAAATGTAATCCGATGCCCGCTGCATGGATTAGCATGGAAATACACTGAAACACGCTGCCTCTGATCGGAGCACGGCCCAATGCCCAGAAGGGTATTTTGTGCCGATTTCGTGTCGGCCATGGTAATCAACAGAATGTTCCGGCCGCTGAAGGAACAAATCGTCAATAGCATCACATCAGGCAGGACATCATTGCTGACTGCTTAACGCTCAACGCTCAACGCTCAATGCCCAACTGCCCAATGAGCCGACTCCGTTGCGTTATTTTCAAATAAATAAAAATGTTAATTTTAAAATTCTCGTTGCAGGGCCGCCCCTTTCCCCCTTCCCACCTCTCTTGCTCTGGTTGTGACCCGTGTGCGTGTTGGCTGCCTGAAAATTACAGTTATTCGCTGTACGTGTTTAATTATTTTTAAATCACACGCAAAGCGGATGCCAACCAAGTGGCAGCCAGGACTCGGTGCTCAACAACCAGGACTCTCTCTCTCACTCTCACTCGCTCAGCTACAAGATTATTTTGGTAGTCCAGTCACGTGCCAATTGCCAGCTATTTTAACGGACTGCGTCCTCTACGCATTCAACGTTGTCGGCTTTCCATAAAAAAAAAAAAAACAGAAAAAAATGGCAAAAAGTAAACTGCCCACTTAAAGTGCTA